TACTTGGCCTAAAATTGTTATTCACCCATCAACATTTTTTGTAAGAAAAAGTCGAACAATGACTATTTTTAAATAAAAAAAAAATAATAAAAAACAATATTTTTACTATCATATTTTTATTAGTGATAAACAGGACTGAATTATAAACATTTATAAATTTTGTTTAGGTAATCAAACATACCATAAGTCAGTACAAATTTTTACTAACTGACTAAAAAACTTAATGATGTGTTTATCCAAAATTAAAGTTTTGGAGAAGATTAAGGGTGTTAATGCACTGCTAACAAGAAAAATATTTCTGCGTTACTATATAATCCAACGACAAAGTTGCACAAGTTTGGGGCACATCAAAGTGCCTAAAACAAAACCTGTAAATGTACATAATTCACAGCCATGGTGTTATAATACATACACCACTCATAATTCTGTAGTTTTTAAGAAAAGGATTGACGTTTTGCAATGTTCTCAAATTCATGTTGTAGGCATAGAATGTTTTTTATTAAAATTGTCACCGCATAAAGATCACCGATAATTTTACTGAATAAAATTACTGAATTGAAATTAGTTATGTAACATAATTTTTGCGATAGCCTAATAATTGATGGTATTAAATTAAATGTTAAATGTTAAAAAAAAAAATGAACATGATTATAAATTCTCAAGTATTATCATTTTTGAAAAAGTTATGGCAGTTTTAAGTAAAAAAAATTGAAAAAATATCGAAAACCTACGATTTTTAAATTTGTAATTTTTTTTGACATTTCCCCCATTACGGGGAACGAGAGAATTTTTTTCAATTTTTGAAGATAATGTCTTCAACTAGATACTATTTGTGATCTTTTGGCGTATCGTTGAAAGAAATCTGTTAGATGAGAGCTGAGAAAAAATGGTTACAAACACAAAAAAAAAACACATCATAGTAAAACTAATACCTTCTCAGCTTCGCATTGAAGCTAAAAACAATTAAAAAATGCAGATAAAACATTTGTTTTAAATAGTTTTAATATGAACCAATTTATAAAACTTAAAATTATATATTAATTAATATATAATAATTTTAAGTTCTTAAAATATTATTGATTTTCGAAGATGATCTTCTGTTATCACATTGTAGTCGTGTTTAACAAGACGTATATACATCAACAACACTTGTAAAATGTTTAAATAATTGACAGAATTATCTAATAACACAAATAGAAAAAAAAATTAATGATAATATAAAATATAATATTGTTGTAATAATGAATTTGTTTAAAACGTTACTGTGGGTTTTCGCAAATAATATCAAGAGCTGTAAAAATTTTATTTTATCACATCCGACTTTAAAACTATCATCATTTGAAATTGTTGTCAACATTTCTATATTAAATTCGCATTTATTTTCCTTGTCGTACCTTTCAAATTCTTTCACGACATTTAAAACAGCTTGATGCGGAAGAAAAACGACCTGTTTTACAAGATATGAATTAAAATAAGTATGTTTTATATCATATTACTATTGAAAAAAACATTACACCAATATTTGGATTTGAAACATTATTTGAGACGTGCAACACGAAATATTTAAGTTGGAAATTATATGTTCCTGTAAACAAATTATCAGCTGACAAATATGACGAATAAATGAAATCAAAAAGTTTAAAACAAAAAATAATAACTTGTTTTCTATACAGTTAATTACTTTACTATAATTAAGATCAATATTTTTATTATTATTAACAAAAAACCAAAAAATTAAAAACAATATATTTTAATGAAAATCGATAATCTTCGACAAAAAAAAAAAAAATGAACTATAATAAGTTATAATTGAAAA